CTAGTTGCAAATTCAGATTATGTTGGAAATATTGGCCGAAGTCCCTTCAACTTTCAACATTTTAATGTTAGGGAAATTAGTATTATTGCTAATGGAAGACCTTATCCCCAAGCACCCTATGACTTTGACTATAAGAATGGAAGATATGTTAGAGCCTTCCACGATATGAACGAAGGTACAGGTTTAATAAATTCCAATGAAAATAATGGGATCACTTACCAACAATATGGAAAGACACATTGCATATATGTATTTAACCTAACAAATAGTGGTGACGATAATAGTGGAGCATTTGATTTGATCAAAAATGGGACTACAGCTGTGCATATTAAATTTAGCCAACCGGTTCCAGACGGTGGAGCTATGCTCATTGTGATGGGCGAGGCAGACTCCCTTATAATGCTGGATAAAAACCGAACCATAGCAAGTGATACAACCATTTGAAAAAATGAAAACAATTTTACTATCTTTATTTTTAATTCGTTTGTTTGCTCCGAGTGTTGAGCTAACTAAAGAAGCTATGGATAAATTAGAAGAGAATTCAGAATATTCAAAATATCTAAGAAGAGCAGGATACCCTGAAAATAATTACACAATTGAAAGAATTTCAGCTCCAAGTCCACCAATATTAACTCTACCAGCAATTGAATTATGCAAAGAAGGACCACAAGACAATAGTTTTTACAGTCATGTTTTTTGTTGGAGTATGATTGGACTATATATTATGCTTTTTGTAAGCCTAGTTATTTATCAACTTCGCTCAGTCTTTTGGTTAAAAACTAATATTCCTAAAAATAATGTACAACAGTCAAATAGCAACGATATTGAACTCCAACCCTTACACAACTCTAATCTTTCAAGGATGTTTTCCATGTGATGATCTTCCTCAGCCAATGCAAGGAAAAGTATTGATTGTAAATTTGGATCCTCAAGGATTTGAAGGTTCACATTGGATTTCTATATACGTACAAGATAAAAGAAAGGCAATCTATTTTGATAGTCTAAACCTTCCAACAAGTATTTGTATTATAGATTCGTTTTTAAAAAATTTTTCTATTGTAACTAGGAATGTAAGGGCGTATCAGTCCCCTTATTCAAATTGTTGTGCTCACCACTGTATTTCATTTACCTATTTTCTTTCAAAGGGATACAACTTTGATGAATATTTAACTCTATTAGATAAACAAAATGATCCAGATTTATTTGTACAAAAAATTGTGAAAAAAATTATAAATTATCGAGATAGTCCTTGGTAATATCTGCACATTCTGGACATAGATAGAAAGCATATACAAAGGATTTTTCATCCTTAGGAACCAATATTTCATCTTGCATTTGTTTCACAACAAAACCAAGACAGTCAGAGCACCATTTACCTGCTCTAAAGTAATTGATGAGAATACTAAGTCTGGCCCCCATGTCAAGTTGAATGTGGTTTTTTAGAGCATCATTAATTGAATGCACATAGGTCCTTATTTTAAATTCACGATATTCGCGAACTCCATTGACAAATCGTATGATTTCGAAATTTTCCTCGCTCATTTTAATATGAATAGTGTTTTAAAATGCAGGTCGATTAAATAGGTCACACCTCACAGCAGGGAGTAAGTAACATTTAAAATGTAACTAGGTCAAATAAAGGATTATGAAATCAAAAGATCCGAGGCATATATAAGCAAAATACTTTTAAAAAATTTTCATTCTTCATTTTCTAAAGTCATTCATCAAAATGGTCCGTGTAATCGATGAAATCGCTCGCTTCCTTGAATGTTCAGTCCTTAGCCTAAGCGGACACCTAGTAAATCCTCAAACTCGTATACGAGTTATGAAACAATTTTTGGATCGTAAAGTCCAAACAACATATTTAAACAAAAATTGTCAAAGAAAAACCTTTTTGTTTGGAGGTTTGACAAGAAAAGGCGCAAACAGAATTTTCGCCTATGGAAGACTTAGACGACCATATAATGTTACTATTTCACAACACTTTTACACAAGACATCGCATCCGTCTGCGCAACCCTTATTTGAATTGCGTTATCGATCGCAGACCGTTTGAGAAGGATCGTTTTTATCCTTTGGAATTATTGGAATTCGTTGATGAAGAACACATGGATAAGATAAATCGTTTGGCAGTAGAGATGGGGCGTTTGACACTTCAAGAGGACAAATCAAAAACGGACTCAATTTCATCACTTGGAAGTCCAACAATATTTATGAACAAGGAAGAGGATGATGAAATTTATAGAGGAGACCTAAGTCAGGACAAATGGTAAAGATAACTATGCCCCTATATGTATATGCACCCCTTGTATGTACCCCTATATACATTGAAAAATGATAAAAATGTAACATTTTTCCTTAATTCCGCAATTTTGCCCCTAAAATTGTAATGTTCTTTTCCTTAATTCCGCACTTTACACTTAATTATGTAAATATATTTTTAAAAAATGTTGGATATTTTCCTTAATTATGCAATTTTACCCCTAAAATTGTAAAGATATTTATCTTAATTATGTAATTTATTTTATCTTAATTTTCCTTAATTATGTATTTTATAAATAATAAAAAGCATATTATAAAATTTTTATCACGAATAAAAATTAAATACAATAATGATTAATTAAATAGAAAAATATAGTGAATAAAAAAGGGAAGGAGAATGGCTTCGCCATTCGACAGACATCACCAAACTCAACCAGGGACTTGAGAATTTACTCAAGTCCGCTACCACCGATTTTCAATGCGAGGATTACCACACAATATGTGAATAACACACTTGATATTCATCGACAAGTCAATGAGTGGTGTGACTCGCAACATTACGATGGTTGGTATAGTTTGGGTGCCCATACCCCTGGCTACTTTCCATCTCCAAGTTAATTTGGGAAAAATTACAAATTGACAAATCCAAAGTCCAATACAGAAAAATCAGAAGGGCGGACTACTCCCTTTCCGACGTAGGGCTTATAAATTTTCTTAAGAGGCAAAGTTGTAACTGATCCATCTTTAACAGATGGACGTAAAAAATTTGGATAGGAAACAATAATAGGGTCATAATCACCTTCAGCGAAATTGAAAACTTTTTCCTTAAATTTCTCATACCGCATTCCTTGATTGTTTATAGCATCCCAGTTCAGTGTCATCCCGCGCACCTTGAGAACGTAGACTGGTTCACCGCCAGGCTCATCCTTCTTTTCCATTTTCAAACCATATTGTTTCGCGCCACCAGAGCAATATTCCAAAATGTTGAAGTCCGGGTACTCATCTGTGAATTCACCCAGATGAGGACCTAATTGAAGAGGGCAGTTGTCAATAGGGTGTGAAAAGATTAAGGAGTCCGTGTCGGTGTAGAGCAATGTGCATCCAGGAGTTCTCACAACCTGTTGCATGGCGTGAAGCAAGTGGATCCTCGCTGCTGATGTGGTCCACAATGATATGATGACATTTGATGAGTCATGTTCTTCCACAAATTCTTTCTTTTTGGTGTAGGAGATTAAAAGTAGTTCGTCGGTTAATTCTTCAAAAAAGTTGATAATAAGTGAAGGATCGTTTGAATATTTGGTGTACACTGCAGGGTCGTCCGTAACTACACATTGAGACAATCCAAAGTTACGGAGAGAGAAACGACCCCATAAGTTGTTTAAGCATAATTTGGCTTGCGTCCTTTTACCTTTATTAACCTTCATTTTCTCTTTTTCAATGATGATCCCAAACTTTTCTTTGCACTCTTTGATGAAATTCTCTTCCTTCTGTTGGTTTCCTTTGATGTCGTTGTCAAAGCCGCTAGCGTGAATTTTTTGTGCCATAAATTCACGGATGTAAGGACGAAAGAGGTTGTCGTCGTAGTTCTTAAATTCCAAAACTCTAAAGATTTTGGTGACCATATATCCTTCCTTCAATGCCTCATTCAACTCAATTGATGTACAAGTAGAGACCCATCCACGTTGTTGGTCTGAGTGTTTGCAGCTGTAGTTCTCATTTACATCCCCATTTGGGTGTTCTTTTGCACAAGTTGAGCAAAGGGGAAATAGAAGTCTTTCATCGTCGTCTCCAATTTTCATAGGCAGCACTGGTATGTCGATGCTGCGTGGAGGTATTACAAAAACTTTCAGAATAGACAATTCAAAAGCGTTGTCAGAGGGTTGAGTCCAGTTGACGTCGTTGTTTAGAATATGCACTTCAGGGTGACCAATTGGGTATCGTGTTGACATATTGATGAACGGGTACAAGGAGGTCACATCATAGTAGGAAATTTTTTGCCCCTCCCCCGTTTTTTGGAAAAGTTTGAGTGGTCCGGTTCTCCCCCCAAAGAAGGCCGATCGAATATCGATCGGTCCATTATCCAAATAATTTTTAAATTTTAATCTCATAACCCTATCTCTTGAAAGCATCCCCCTTATGTCACACTCCCAATAAACTTCCACTTCTACTCCAAAACTTTCAATAAATTCTAAACGTTTTTCATCCCTCTCCCGTTGAATACCCGCAGAAACCCCATTGGGAAGTCTTATTTCATCATCTGGGAAACATTTCCTACACCCATGCCAACAACACCCATTGACCTCAATAACCAATTTCTTTTCTTCAACCCATCCATCTACCCTATAATTCCCAAACCTCTTTTCCCCTTCTTTAGAATAAGCATTACGTACTGTGACATTGTGTTCCTCAGCGTACCAGCTGAGGAATCGAAGAGCAAGCAAACTTTGGTTGTCTGCGTTGTCGTAGCCCTTCTCTGGAACAATTCCGAGGTGTTGAGATGTCAGGTGATTTGTTCTAAAGTGTTTCATGCAGGCACTGGCGATTGTCATTGCCTCCCTCAGTACATCCAATCCATTTGAAACCTCCAAGAATTCGCGCCGAAAAGCAACCAGAGCAGCCATTAGAATTTCCACGTCGTTGGTACAATATGACGCCAGGGACTCATCCAAGTTGAAGGGTTCATTCTTGTGTAGTTCATACCATTTATCAAATTGTGCTCGCTTCTCGGGCATCATTCCATCAGCCAAGTAGTCCTCCTTCACCGGGAAAATTTCCTTACCATAATTTTCCGGTCTATTTACCATGTGTGGGAAGAAAGGTTTGTCCTCTACACTAAGTGCAAAGGCAGGGACCAAGGAAGCAAGGGACATGGGCATTAAATTAAAAGTGTCCCTAAAAATAACCCAATTCTTTTTACCAACCTTTACCTTCATTTCATATAACTTATTACCTTTTTTAATCATATCCGGAGTTAACCCCCTAAGAAACAATTCCTTAAAAACTAATACCATATCAAATCTACCCCCAAAGTGTGAGAAGGCAACCGTGTCTGTCACGGTAGAATCGATAATCCATGACACAAACTCTTCTAAGGGATTCTCTGTATCATTTTGACTGTCAACAGGCGTGTTTTGGAAAGGTCTCGTAGAGAAAGTAATAGTCCTATCTTCCCCACAAACACTACAATCAGGGTCAGGTCCATTGGTGATACACCCGGGACAATTTACCTTTACCCCTATAAAGTTAACATCGTGGATTTTACCTTTTTCCCCCTCACGATATTGCATTGTTTCAAAATCAAAGGCGACGATTCGGTACGCCTTTTGGGGTTTAATGACCAGGGGCTTGATGTAACACCCACGTTTAGGATCGTGGTAACTACCGCAGGTGGTACAATAGCGTTCGGAGCAAACGTGACCCGCCCTCCCATTTCTATTATTTACCTTAACATCCCAGATAACCCCACATTTATCACATTTCTTAGAGGAATTACAAAAATTTACGGTGATATGGTGGGTATAACAATCTTTATTCCTAAAGTCTTTCCCACAACCGTTACAATGTTCAAAGAAATCATTTAAATCTTTACACGGAAAACCTGGGCCAACCCTAGAACAATTTTTACATCTAGCCTTACAGGAAATATTGTGGTTACCTTGACGTTCATAAACGCTTTCACATGATAGGCAATAGGGTTGACTAAAAAGGTCGCTAGCCCTACGAACCCCGTCAAAGTGTTCCTTATTATAAAACAAAATTATAGGCGTATCAAAATCATCGGGGCCATATTTATAAATAGGTTTTTCCCCTAAATCCCCGAATACAAAAACTTTAAACCATCCTTTATTAAGCAAATTCCAGTATTCAACCACAGAGGGGATCCATTCTTCCGCATCGTAGCTGTCCTGCTCGAGTGGTGCACCAACAGTTTCCATCAAATCCATTGAATCCTTCTTGAAAAGATTAGTCATTCCTCTTCGGCTGTGCATGTAGTCGTAGAATTTCCATTTAGGCCAGAGACATGTAGCATAAATAAATGTTGCAACAAGAGAGTAGAAGAGGCAATAATTATCGTCGTTGCGGATTTTAATTAGTGATTTGTCGTTAATTTTAAGTTGTTTAGATGAAGAATTTCTTCCACGGCCATGCACTCGACGAGGGGTGTTACTTCTTTGGATGGTGGATACCGAAACTAGGAAGGGAGCTCCCCATAACATACCATTATCCTGTTTTTTACTCTGGGCAACCTTGAGGAATTGATTCAAGATTGAATCAATTGTATTTGGGGTGATTTCTCGGACTGGGATCCAGACGTCCGAGTCAAGGTGTTGACTCGATATTATACATCCTAGTTGGTCAGGTTCAACCCCCCATTGACGACTCTCTTGAAGAGCTTCGTCGATGGTACTTTGGAAAATCCCTGCTAGAAGGGATTCAGGGTCATTGGGTAGGTCAGAAATTAGGAACTTGGATGAGACCTTAGACGAATTAAATTTTCGGTTAAACTTGGTCTCATGACCAAGCTTCTTTACATAAGGGTTATTAGTTTGGGAACCTAATATATTGGAAATGGAAAAATTCTTAAATTTTTTGGGTGGTGGAGGAAGCATTTAAAAAAAAAGATGAAAGTAAAAGCAAGTTTGATTGTCTCGAAGTAGCTGGTGTTGAATAGTAGTATGATTTTTATGCTCAAAATCAATCGGTTTTTATACCCTCCCTAGCTCCACCTATTTGCAAATTAAATCACAGCTGGATTTTTAAAGAAATTTCTTAACTAGGTTAAAATCTTTAATAAGAACCTTGAAAAATTGACCTAATTTTTGGAAATTTTATAAAATTTTATTTAAGATGGATGTTGTAGTACCGAGTTAAAAACAAGAGATAAAACAAGCAAACAGCAATGTCGGCAAAGGTGATAGGTTGGAGCAGACGAAGGAGCTATTGGACTAGATAGTTAGTATGAGGTTTAAATCTATCTCAAGTATTATCTTATTTTTAATTTTTATTTTTATTTATTTCCAGTTCTTTATTTATTTTTAAATTTTTTCTTTCATTTTTTCATTCAAAACATTTTTTTTTATTCACAGTCTTTTTAGTTTCACTAGTTAATCCCTTCTTTTCTTTTCCATTCAAAAATTTTTCATTGGATGCCCTATATTTTTAAAATAAGTTTTAAAAATTTTTTAACAAAAGGGTATCTTTTACAAAAGAAAATTTTTCTATGTTAGGATGATTTAAAAAATTTTAAAAAATTCAAAAGAAAAAGGAAAAGTTTTAAGCTGACCCATAAAACTTTAAAAATTCAAAAGAATTAAAAAAATTTTCAAGTAAAAGGAAATTTTTACAAAAGAGAAATTTTTCTAGGTTAGGATGACCTAGAAATTCAAAAGAAAGTTTTAAAAAAATACAAAAGAAAAAGTGAAAAGTTTTAAGATGACCTAAAAATTCAAAAGAAAATTAAAAAAGAATGCTCGCACGCTGCGCGAACAAAAATACGGAAAAGGAGAAGGGAAAAATAAATTTAAAAAATTTTTGGGGGAAATGGACCTAAACCTTTTGGTTTGACGGGTTCGGCACCGGATATTACTAATTAGTGTACTAATTACATGTTTTTAATAAGCGAATAATTACATGGTTCTAATTGGGGTTAATTTCACGGAACCCTATTTCTATATCAGTTATCTTTGATAAGACCATTTGGGATGATACCGGAAGTCCCTAAACCTTTAGGATGGTCCTAATTAGTGATGTAATTACATGGAATTAATTAGGGATTAATTTTGCGGACCCCTCTGCCCCCAACGACTCGGACGGGGGACTAACTACTAATGTCAGCAAAAATATACACCGAATAGATCAGGCGATGGTGAGTCACAAGATTTATTTCCCCTCCATATTGTTTTAAACTCCGAAAATTACCAGCATTTTATTATAAAACAAAGGAACAATTTACCGTCAGACAATTCACCGACTGGACAGTTCATCGCCACCCATGATTTGTAAAATAATACTGTATGAGAGAAGATGGAGTATACCTAATTTGGGTTCCTAAAAAATGCTGAAGGTTCTTATTCGATTAAAAGTGGAGGATATAATTTGAGTTTAGATGCCACTTAATTATGGGAAATTTGTGGGACAAAAACACACCAATTTTTAATCGGTAAATTGTCTGTCAGTAAATTGTCCTCATAAAAATATTTAAATATTTTATAGAAAAACGATGAAATCATTTAAATAAAAAATTATTATGGGGGTATTTGAGAGGACTTTTTTCTATAAACCCTTTTCCACTTCTATTAAAAGAGTAGTAGTTAAAAAGCAGCACAGTTTAAAAAACTTCACAAAAAATATCGAAAATTGCCAAGGAAAAGAATAACTAGCTGGCATTAAAAAATATAAAGAAAAATTTATTGGCAGTCTCTGTATGAACTCATGAGGAGGAAAAATGCATATTTTTATGGAAGCCCGCGGCTGTGAAAGAGTTGAATAAAATAAAAATTTTTTCTTTTACAAACAAGCAGCGACGGGAACACGTTGGGGGGCTATTGAGGAAGTAATAGCTAGGGGAGGGAAGGGGGGAAGGAGGGGGGGGGATCGATATATTTACTAGTATTTTTCATTTCCTTTTCTTTACGCCCACTTTTTCTTTTCTTTTTAAAAATATTTCGTGGCAGCCAACAAGAGTTTTGCTTCTTGAGCCGAAAAATGCCGAAAAGGATTAGTTGATGAATAAGAATAAAAGAAGGGGAATTTGAATTAGAATTGCACGAGATCGAGATTTTAGAAAAAATCCGAGACCGAGATTGACCGAGACTCGCATGACCGAGACCGAGACCGAGATGCAAAATTTGACCCGAGACCGATATCGAGATCCGAGATAAACCGAGATTTTTCAAAACTTTTCTTATCCACCAAAACCCATTTAAATTAATTAAATATCATCAAAATCATCATCAAAATCATCTGTTTCATCAGAATCAATTTCAGTTGGTGGACCAAGCAACGGTTTATCCATATTTGCCTTTACAATAGATTTTTTTCCACCATTTCTCCAGAAAGTTAAGTATAAAGAGACACTTGTGTACGGGAGACTTGTTTATTAGAAGTGTCTGATAGAGACAGTCGGTTTATTTTTCAACCTTTCTCTACGGGTCGGTTTATTAGAAGGGGCCGGACTATTAGAGACAGTCGCACTATTAGAAGAAATACGGTTTATATATGTCACCGTCCAAATTACATTCTTGTCCAAATTGAATTTGGCCTTCCAATTGGGGACTGAAGCCCCAAATTTTGGATTTTTCTTCGTGTTCAAGGTTGGGGTTGGGTTCTTTAACATTTATTCATGTTCGGGACCTACGTCCACTTGATCTGGGACAATTCCTTACCCTATTCCTCAAAATTTCTGAAAGTTTTAGCCAACTTTAAAAATTCCAGAAAAACGATTATAACTAGGGTTGTTGGCGACCGGTTATTAACCGGTACCCCCGGTTTTCGGTTATCGCCGGTTTTCGACCCCCGGTTTTCGGTTCCGGTTTTTGATTTACCTCCGGTTTTTGGTTAACCGGGACCGGTTTTTGGACAAATTTTCATCCAGAATATCCCATTAAGATGTTGTCACATTCTAACGCTTTTAAATAAATATTCTATACATTAGGAGATGAATAATCTACAAATTTCAACAAGTCGAGGAATTAAAGGTTATATGGCGAGATAAAGTTGGCTGATTTTGAATATTAGGAGCAGTGCTAAGTATTTGCCATTTGTTGTCTCCGGCTCCGGGCTTAAAAATCTTGGCTCCAGCTCCGGGCTCCGGAGCCGGCAATTTTCGGAGCCGCTCCATTTAGCTCCGGGCTCTGGGTGGAAAATCAATGAATTATTTTTCATTGAGGTGATTTTGTTAGATAAGGTGATACAGAAGATAAGAGGGGTATCACAGGATTAAGCGGGATTTAGGTGGATTAAGGACGATATCGGGGAATTAAACTGGATTAAGGGGAATTTGGGTGAATAAGAGCTGGTGATCCATCTCTCTCTCATTATCAATCGCTTTTTACGCCGCAGGCGAAAATTTTGAAAATTTTGGAAGATACTTAAGCCCTAAAATCTTCCTTTTTTGCGCCGCAGGCGAAAATTTTGAGAATTTTGGAAGATACTTAAGCCGGATTTTTTTATTTTCACCGTCGGCCCGACTCGAAAAAGGCAACCATATTTAAAAGGACCTTTATCGAGTAAAGTTCATCAACTAAACCATTTAACCACACACTTCAAGTAATAAAACTGAAAGATATTATATTTATCGAAAAAGAAAGGGGAGGAAATAATTTGGCTAACTATATTTTGGAGCTAAAATGTCCTAAAAATCACAAAAAATTCCATCTTTAGGGGTGTATCCTTAAAACCGAAACCGGGCGGTTTTGGTCACCGGTTTTCGGTTATCGCCGGTTTTCGACCCCCGGTTTTCGGTTCCGGTTAATTCGCAAAAAACACCGGTTAACGGTTCCGGTTCGGTTAACCGTCCGCCAACAACCCTAATTATAACCTTAAGAAATTTCGAAGAATAGGGTAAGGAATGGTCCTAGGTAAGGAATGGTTGCGGCGACCGTAGCCGTCGTTCCGATCAACATACCCGACTTCCTCCGCAGCGGCAAAAACTTGATTTTTTGATTTGTATCGGCCGCGCCTATTTGTCCTTCTCCGCTCTCTAGTCAACTAAATTAAAGTGAGCACAACAATATAATAAGAGCGAAATTTTAAATATTTTGTCAAAATAAATCTCAAGAAGGTCAATCTTTAGGGGTGTATACTGATCTCGGATCTCGGCGAGATTAAGTGCCGAGAATCTCGTCTCGGTTAGGTGATCTCGTCTCGGCAAAACCGAGACCGAGATTGGAAAATGACCGAGATTCTCGTCTCGGTCTCGGTCGAGATATCGATCTCGTGCAACTCTAATTTGAATAGTTTAATAACTAAGGAATGTTGCAAACCAATATTAATAAAGTAGATAAAAAAATAAAGAAAATTTATTGACAGTTAATCTAAACGAGGCTGTATCCCCTTCAAAAGGTTATTCTGACTAGCTGGCATTAAAATCCGGTCGAATATCTGAGGGCGAATAGCATCTTCAATTGATCTGACTGATTACTACACAGCTTTAGGAATTAAATAGCTCTATCCGCTTTAGATAACCGACCACCCGATTCCCTAAAGTTGGGAATTTATTTTTCCTATGCCGGCTAGATCCCTGATATGTATATGTTCTCATAAAATAGGTATCTGCATTATTATTTTTTACTATTCAATCTAATTAACGTTACTTTTATTTTTTTATCAATTCTTAAATTAATTTCACCGGAATTTTTTTTCTTTCTAAAATATCAATACAAATAAAAAATATATAAAATTATTTAGTAAATATATTTAAAAAAACGAAAATTTAAAAAAAAATTGAGCGATATCTTTTTTTCTGGCAAACAAATCTTCTTTCCTTCAATTTAAAATTCCCTCCATCTAGTTAAATCCATTTGAGGAATTTCTGAACAAGAAACTAGAGGTCCAGTTCTGAAAGCTTCTCTCGGGACAATTCTAATATCATCAGCATTATCACAAACAATTCTAGCCAATGATGAACGTCTAATCTCTGCTAGTTGTGCTCTTGTAAATATTCCAGGATTTTCAAAGTAAAACCGGTCACCGTCTCGTGTACGGGCAAATTGGGGGCCAATTACACAAGCACTTTAAATTGAAATTTTAAAAAGGAAAAACAGTCCTTGGAAAAAATTGAGGGGTAATATGTATGTAGAGGTTTCAACCTGGAATAAATATGGAATTGGAAAAATGAAATATTAGGAAGAAATCTATCCTAGAATCAATACCAAATCCATAAATAACTAAGAATCTAACCAAGAGTTCACCTGGGATAGAAGTGAACTAAAAAATAAAAATGTTAGAAAAAACATTGGGGTAGAAGAATCAGGATAAATGTCCAGCTCGTCCTCAACATGTCCGCAAATGACTTTCTATTCGCGCCAAACTATCAATTTGATTACCTAGGAAAAATTATTGTAGAGAGATGGAAGGAGAAGAATGCAGAAAATGTATAAGTCATTTGCAGACATGTTGAGGACGAGCTGGACATTTACCAAGAATCAGAATCAAAAAATGTGATGTTTGATGGATAATTAGAGGTCTTTAAAACCCCTAAGGGATAACAGAGAAAGGCTGTGATAATTAAAAATATTTTACTAGAGTCTCTTGCTTGAAAACTTACACAGTAGGCCCAACAAGCCCCCTAACAACCGGATCTTCAAGTAAAGCACCAACAAAAAAGTCAATTTTATCTAAAAATTTTTAGAGCTTTTTTTTACAATTTTTTCCAAAAACCTGGAGATCCATAAATTCTTTGTAAATTATTTCTAGCTTCAACACTTAATATTTCCCTGCTTAACTGTTTGAAGGGAAAAATTAAATTAATTTAAAAAAATTTAAAGAACATGATCAAAAGTCGATGCCCCAGGTAATCCACAAAGTTGTCGAAAACGTAAATATGAAGGCAACTAAAAATATTAAGAATGATTAAAAGAAAAATATTTTGGAAAATTTGGAAATTGAAAATTTGCGGACAAAAATTCTGTCCGCAAATTAAAATTGCGGACAGAATTCTGTCCGCAAAAAAAATTTTTTTAATATTATTTTAAAAATTATTTACACTTTTAAATTATTACTTTCTCAATCTCATTTTATTGCTATTCAATTAAGGATGTTTTAAACAAATTTTTAAAAATAAATTAAGCCATACCCCGTGATCCCGACCTCGTTGAATGTTTATTGTTCCTATAAAAATATTTAAGAAAAAATTAATTTTAAATTCTTCCTTAAAATTACCCAAATCAGTTGTTCCAAACATTTGTTCTGTTACCTTTTTTAAAATTAAAAATTAATTCAAAAAAAATTTTTTTTATTTTTATTTACCGTTCTAGTTAACCTTTGAGGCCTTTTTAAAGGTTGTGACATCATTCCTCTAATTATTGGGTCTATTCCCCCTTGGAAAATAAGACGGTCAGATTTTAATGTGCCATCTACAAAGGCGAAGCCCCCAAAAGGAATTGTTCTGTTGAAAGCGTCCAAACGTTGATAAAATTCCTGAAAATAATTTTTTGGAAGGGGGGGGGGAGTTTTTAACAAAAAAAATTTTTTTTAATTTTTTAAAAAAAATTTTTAAAAATTTTCAGAATAAAAAATATTTTTTGTCCCTCACTTGTATCATTCCATGTCCAAACCGATAGGCACCCGAAGTAAATTCATTAGCTACTGTAGAGTCTACATTTGGATCATATCCACGATAAGAACCAACTAAAATAATTTTTCCCAAAAATTATTTTCCTGATTTACCTGTAGAAGCAAAAGAAGACCCCAAAACTTTAGGTAAATATTCTCTATAACAAATAGCCTTAAAACAATTTAAATTTAAACAAAATATTTTCCTCCTCCCCCCAAACTTGAATTTCTGCCCCAACAATTTTTCGAGTTTCTTGAAAAAGTCTGTCGCCGTTCCAATGGGGGTTAAGTCTTTGTAAACGGGAGGCAATTCTTTAAATAAATTTTTTTAAAATTATTTAAAAAATTTTTAACCGATTATGTTCTCTTGTAAGTAATAAATGAAAGGAAGTTAGTCCCAAAAATAAATTTACTCTACTATCTCCAGCAATAAATGTTGCAGAACTTTAATTTTAAAAATAATTCTATTTTTATTAGAGAATTACCAATCCCCAGAATTTCGGCATTTTGAAGAATCAAAAGGTAATAGACGCATTCTGGAAATTAAATTAAATAATAAATCTGGAAAACTTTAATTTGGAGATTATTAAATATGTAATTATAAGGCCGTCGAAGTTCCCCTTCCCCCACTCCGCCTTCCCCTATCCCCCAACATTGTTGATAAAACATAATGAAAAATTGTGATGGGAAAGTTGAACTTATATGTATGCAACGAGGACCTTTCATTAAATCTCATTATAAATCCCATCAAAGAATCGGCATATTAACTGTTATTTGTCGACTAATTACTAGAGTATTATTATTCAGACAATCCCCGGAGGGTGTAATTAATCAAGAGTAATTAATCGAGGAAATACATTAATAGCCACTAAAAAATAGAGCCTTTAACTTATCGGTTTTAGTCATGAAAAAAATGAGGATTAAAAAACATTTAAAATTAATTCTCCAAATATTTACCCATTAAAATTATTTAATTTCAAAAATCCAGTAGAGCCCTCTCTAAATTTGTGTAAATCCCCAACAGAAGAGCCATATATCGGAGATCCATCAATATATCCAGTATTTTCACTTAATTGTTGTCGAGGCTTAGTTCTCCCCGAACCACAAATCGGAGAGGAACGGGAGACTCTCAAACAACCATCCGCTCGGAAATTGGAATTTGGGTCGGAGGGGGCGAGGAATATTGCCATACACTGAAAGTATCGAGTTTAGAAAAATAATTTCCCCTAAACATACTCGAGAAGGAATATTTTGACAAACATTACATTTGGCAGAAGGGACCAAAGTAGTCTTTGCCATATCGTGGGACATAAATTGGCCAAATTGCATTAATAGAGCATTGTATTCTTGATGGACTACTTGCTATTTTTAATTTATATTTTGATAGAGAAAAAAATTTTTTTTTATTTTTAATTAAAAAATAGGATAAGTGGGGGATTAAACATAAAAAATAAAACAAAAATTAATTAAATATAGGGAGATATACACCTTAGAGATCGAACCGAGGCGAAACCTTGAACAAAGATATCAGTCATTAAGACTTCTTAAGATATCAATACTCGATTCTGGTACGACTCATCCAATCCGGTCTCTCCTACCATCTATTTTAACTACGATATTACCTTAGCTGTAGATAAAACTTGTCGATTAATTTCTCTAGGACTGGGGCGAATATTTGTAATTGAAGCTATAAAAGATTTTAAAAAATAAATTTTTTAGATAAAGAAACATACAAACAGGTTCAGACAATCCCCCATCATATTCTGGAGGCATTAATCTTTAAATAAATATTTTAAATTAAAAAAAGATATACTCTAAACTTGCCTGCTATAAGGGCGGAACGCTGCACCTCGAAGGGGAAACTTTAATTTAAAAATTATTTTTAAATTTTTTTTTGAGAAAATACCTGAAAATTATTACAAGTTCCGTCCATTGTTCGAAAATGTAAATTATAACAGAGAGAACTAAAAAATAATTTAAAAATTAAAATAAAAATTAAAAATTAATGACCGTTCACATTCTGCTTCATCCAACCTAGGGACACAAGCATTTGCAATGTTGGAACGAACTTGAAGAAAAAAACATTGCAAAACATTAATAAATTTTATTTTACTTACCAACTTGTTCTTGTGTTAGAGGATGACGACCAGAATTATCTAAAAACATTTAATATTTTGTTTTTGTTTTAGAAAAAGTTGGGAAATGTTTTCTAGAAAAATTGTTTTTGAGAGTGTTGGGAAATGTTTTAATTAAAGTTTGTTTTGTTGGGAATGTTTTGTAAAGTTGTTATTATATAATGTTTTCCTTCAAGTTTATTTTTATTCAAGTTTAAAAATGTTTTTGAAAATGTTGAGGAATGTTTTTATTAAAGTTTTTGTTTAATTAAAAATGTTTTGGTTAGTTGTTATAATGTTTTTATTCAAGTTTTTTTCAATGTTTTTCTTTAATGTTTTAATAAACATTTTAAAACACCTTCAGTTGCAACAACTAATCTTTCTCTAATTAAAACTTCAGCAGCATTAGAGGGATCTCTCTGTATTTGTCTGCACCTTTCTGTTGGGTTAGAAACAATTGTTTGTGTAGTTGTTGTTGTGTGTATAGTTGTTGTTGTTGGAGGTGGGGGTGGGGGTGGAGGTGGAGGGGGTGGGGGTGGGGGTCTAAATGTTGTTGTTGTTTGTGTTGTTGTTGGATGGGTTGTTGGGTGTGTTGTTGGGTGTGTTGTAGGGGATGTTCGTGTAACAAATAAATGAGGAAATGTTTGTGGCTGTCTTGAATGTGTTTGTATAAAAGGGTTGTTGGGAAAACGAAAGGGAAGAGTAGCTGCTTGTGTTTGTGGCGGTCTTCTTGTAACAGGCGCTAAAAACATCAAAACATTTAAAACAAATTAATTTGTTTTTATTTACGTCTTGTGCAAGTTCCGCAAGCTAATTGGCAATTAAGTGCTAAAAAATTTTTAAAAATAAATATTTTTCTAAATTTTATTTAATTTACACATCCATCCAGAATTACTTCCACATTCCCCCATTGTAGCCCAAAATCTACACCATTCGTGTTGATCACAACACCCATTTAGACGACATTTAAAATTTCGTATTATTGGGTTTTCATCACTTCCAAAAACTTTAAAATTAAATTTTTTTTTCTTATAAAACGAAAGGAAGAGAGTATCAATAGAAAATATTTGAAAATGTTTTTATTAAAGTCGTAAAAATGTTTTTTTTAATTACATAATTTAATTCCAAACATTTTATCGAAGGAAAAAAGGAAAGTCCTTTTCCACTAGAGATCGGACAAACGGCAAAATCGAATCAAATAATTTGATATTTGAAATTATTTGAAAAAATTTGATTTTTTCCAAAAGCCATCAAAAAATATTTAATAAAATAAAATTTAATAAATATTTGACTTTCTGAAGTCAAATATTTTTTTGTAATCTCCTCTTCCAACCCATATCTCGTAACATTTTAATTATTTATTTTAGAATAATTTCAAAAAAAATTTATAATTATTATATGTAAATATAATTATAGATTTTTTATAATTATAATCGTTTTTCTTCTTTTTATAATTAGCAGTAGTTGCAAACAAACAAAACAAAAACAAATAAAAACAAACCTGTTGTAACTGTGCAAAACAAAATGAAATTAAAACAAATAGTTAGTGTTGTTATTCTTTTATATAAACAATGTTTTTGTTGTTTTTGATGTTTGTTTAAATTATTTGTTTGTTTTAATGAATGTTTTACAAACATTGGAGAAATATATAATTAAAAACCCTATAATTTTATTTATATTGCGGTTAATTTTTGTAGAAAAATTTGTTGAAAAAATTATTTTTTATTTTAATTAATTAAAAATACAAATTAAAAATTATTTAAATTTATAAAAATAATTTTAAATTAAAGTTTTGATAGAAGATTGACTCTTTTTACTAACAAATAAGTAACACTTTCCTTCTCCTACTCTCTTCAGAGTTATTTTAATGTAAATATTAAGACCTGGACTAAATTTTTTTAAATTATTATTTTTATTTGTCAGACAGAAAAAAAAGTTTATTTTTAAATCCCTGTTTATATCCCCATTCAATTAAAAAACATTTACTTTAACAAACTAATAATTTTAATTAAAATGATTAAATTACTTATAATTTAAAAAAAAATTTATTTTCCTTTTATTAACTAATTTTAAAATAATTTTAATAATTTAATTATTTTTAAAAATTAAAGAAGTTTAAAATTATATTTAGAAAAATTTTTTTAATAAATCGATTAATAAAAAAATTAAAATTAAACAAAGAATTTTTTTTCAGAAAAAAATTTTTTTTCGTTTATTGAAAAAATGCGCGAATAAACTCAAATTAAATTAAAGAATTGTTTGTAAAGTTTTGCTATTTACACCGAAAATTTTTGAAGGAGTAAAGGAAAATTAAAAGGAAAGAGGGGAGAACAAGCCAAATAAAAATTCAAGAAAAAAATTGTTTTAAATTTTTGTAATGTAACTGGGGGAATTGGGCGTAGATATTTAGAGGGTTGGGCGTGGATATTGTTGGAAATGAAGTTAAAAATGTTAAAGGTTAAGTAAATAATTTAATTAGATATTTATCCATCATCATCCTAGCTCTATTATGTGTGTGTACCGTGTAAGTCTATTCCTTTAAAGAAATTTTATGGAAATGCAGATACCTAAATTCAAATTAAATTAAAGAACGAAAATGGAGAGTTAGGGTTTTAGGTTGGGAGGTGGTGGCCGGTGGAACCCTATTTTGTGATTATTCTTTCCACTTTAAATTCTTAGGTTGCAAGTTAATTTGGTAGGGGAAGAGAGGGTTGGTGTCTTGGATTAACGATCCCTCGTGAGTTGAATGAAAAGGAAATAAGAAAGTATTGTTGCCCAAGACGAAGGTGAGTGTTTGTTGAAGTTGCTGGGATTCCATAGGTGGGTTACCAGGAGGTTACCAGACTAAATGTTCTAAAATTCAGAGTTAGATTTTGCCATAGACGGAAAATTTGGTAACTTTTGGGCAGAAGGAGGAAGGAAATAAAAAAAAGGAAAATATTTTTTCAAAGAAAATGAGGAAGTAAAACTTTAATTAAGAAAAATTTTTTAAAAGATTTGAATATTAATTGTCCAACCATTCAGAATTCTTGTTTTATTGTTTTAAAAATTATCAAAATAAATTTTCGAAAATTAATAATTTTTTATATTTTCAGTTATAATATATTAAAAAAAGAAATTTTTTAAAGAAAGTAACCCTAAACTTTTTAATTAAATTTTAAGCAAAAATTCACGTTTCCAAGTTTTCTCATTTGTTTGTTTTATATAAACGATCACGCAAGCGTTACTTTTGCGCCTAAACATGCCAATTTGTAAAGGCGGAAATTAGACGGAAAATAAAAGAGAAAGAAGGGAAAAATGTTTTAAAAAGCTTTACAATAATTAAATAAATATTTTAATATTTTTCTTTTAAAAAATAATTTCCGATTGTTGAAAAGGGGAGGGAGGGGAGGGGGGGGTTTAGTTTATTTCGCGCAAATTTTAGTTAAAGTTCGGGGGTCATTTCACCATTATATTTCAGAAAGGGAAAAAAATGAAAGGAAAAACCTAAAAAAGCTTTTTTATTTTCTTTTAACAAAACTGAAATAGGCACTAAAAGAATAAGAATATGTATGACAATACCTACAAAGAAATTTAGAGGGAAAATTAAAAGGCTACTTCCTAATTTTTGATGAAAGGGAAATTTCCGAGACCGGAAATTTTCTACGACACAGACTAGATCCCAAGACCAAAACTGAAGAAACTCCAAGAAAAGTCTTGAGCAAGACTCGTGACAATCTCGGACGTCTCTAATAATTTTCTTTAAAAACTAAAATTTACTCATTTTACAAATAAAAATAAATAGAAGCAAGGCGTTACTAAAGGTCTTTGGTTGAGTGGGTTAATGCGCAGCAGGTGAACCTTGGGGAGTAGGGTTCGACTTTTTGATGTCAAACATTTGTTGACAACTTTTTAAAATTTCTTTTATTTAAAATTTGATATTCATGATTGAAAAATAAGTTTAGGAAAAAATATTATTATAATTATTTAATAATAATAATTAAAAATTAGCGGAAATAATAAAAACAATTAAATTGAAGGGGAAAGATTACATTAATTCCATTCTTTCTTTTCTGTTCCAAAAAATTACAAAAATATAAATAATTAAAAAAAGAGAAGACCATAAATTTGTAATGCTCAAATACACACGTAAATATATATTTATTTATTTTTTTTTTCGCGAATAAATCAAAAACGTAATCAATTGTGGCCCTTTCTTTTCCCCCCACAATTTTTGTTGTGGCATTTGCGCGGCTTCTTGGGGGCAACGTGTTTCTCTCTTTTAAAGGGAAAAAGAGAAGAGAGAAATTGTGAATATAATTCTAAAATAATTTTAAAAAGAAAGGCGTCAATTAATGAATAAAAAGTGAAAATATATAGGGTGGAAATTAAGCAAAAATGGAGGGAAAGGGAAAGGGTGCCCTTTGCTCTATTTGATAAGAAGAAGAACTGACGAAAGGAATTAAATAATTTAATGATTTAATACAGCGTTTTTATGTTTTTTAGAGGTGAGAGAGAGATTAATTTAAAATTAATTTATTTCCTTTATTTAGAGGAATTTTAGGAATTAATGTAAAGGACGCGGGCATTCAATCGTCAAGAAAAAAGGGGGGAATGAGAGAATTGTAATAGGACAAAGGGGAATCTAATTAAGGACTGTTGCTCCTCAAATATCCAAATCTGGATTTGACATCCTAGCCAAAAATTTCTGTCCGGCAATCCTAAAACCCTTCCAGCCAAATAAAATTGAGCAGAGTTTTAAAGTTTTAAACACGGTACGGGGTTAGTCCACTTACCTAAACAAGTTTTAAGCTATGAGGCCAAGGGGGGATATTTTATATTTATTTGAGGTTTAGACGAAAAAATTAATTTAATTTAATATAAATTTATTTAAAAAATAATCAACTAGTTTTTCATTTTTAGCCAGTTTAACCAAAAATGTATGTAGATTTTTCTTAAATGAAATAATGACCTTGAAGACTAATTGCAAAATGTAAAGACGTATGTATATATTTAATTCGCTAATCGACTGACTAATATATTTAAATAGAGCTAAATAAATTAATTTAAGAGAAAATATGTAATAGATTTTATTTAAAAATTTTTAAAGCTCAGACAAAAAATATACGGAAAATTGACTTTATTGTATGTAGATAAAAGGAGGGGGTGTAATGAACGGGAGATATCCCTTAGATCTAACGCAAAATTCATTTAAAAAAGAGAACATCAGGTTCATTGCAGGGGTTTAAAAGGCGAAAGATGGAAGGTGAAAGTCAAAAAAATCTCCGAAAGATGAAAGGCGAAACGGCACACGCCTGATTCATTGCCCTCCGATAGCTTAGGTAGAGCAACAACAATAGAGCAAATTTTTGCTCAAAAACTGCCATATTTTTAAATATATTTATGGCAAAATTTAACAGAAAAATTAAAATTAAAAATAAGAACAATTATTATTAAACATTTATCTCATTAAAAGAGAGTTCACAAATCGTCGGCCTGTTCCCATTCCCCTCCTCCTACACTCTGTTTCAAAAATATAACCCACTTTTGATTTTTCAGTTTTCTCGATGATAAGTTAATATATTTTTTTGAAATTTGGTATGTTGATTCATTTAACTAATCTACGAATATTCCCGCAGTTCCATCAATTTTTATCTAATACAAAATTTTTAATTAATTTTTTTCTAAATTCTTCCTTAAAATAGGTGTTTCATAATTATAACCCACTTTTATTTTTAATATTTGCAACATTTGCAACATTTAATATTTGCAACAATATTTGCAACATTTAATATTTGCAACATTATTTGCACCACCTGTATATCGCTAATGGATTTTTTCTGAAAAATAAGGCAAATGCTATCTTGTAGCAAATTTCAAGGGCTTTCAGATAGGCAAAAAATAAAATTTAAAAATTACCTTTAATGTGTCAAAAATATTTTTTAAATAGACCTACCCTCGTTTTACGTTGCTTTTCGAGGTTTTTTAGATGTCAGGATCTCGAAAATGAGTAGAGATATGGGCCTAATTTTTTTTTATTTTTTTATAATATTCCTATATATGGTTGGTGGAATTTTTGTAGATTTTTCCTAATGTTGGAAATATTAAAAATAAAAGTGGGTTATACTTATGAAACACCTTTTTTAGGGAAAATTTCGAAAAAAAATTAATTAAAAATTTTGTATCGAACAAAATCTTATGAAACTTTTGGAATGTTCGTAGATTTGTTAAATGTATCTAAATACAAAATCTCAAAAAGATACATTGATTAAGCAACTAAAAAAGTAAAAAAATTAAAGTGGGTTATACTTTTGAAACAGAGTGTACACCTCTCATTTAATGCCCCGATCCAGTCAATTTCTATAAATCGTCTTCCCTTTCTTTTTTAAAGCATTTCCGCGACATTTTCTACATATATTTTTCCTCATTCTTCCAGACGTTCTAAAAGAGAAAAAGAAAGACAGATTCACTTCCCCTCTTCCCCTTTCTTTTTTCCCCTCTTGAACAAATAAATAATATTTTAATAAATATATATTTACAATTGTCGGCCCGCGCACCATCACTTTTTGATTATATTGCCGCAGGCAATATTAATAAGCCTAGAAGCACATAAATATTTTTATGAATTATTGTTATAATAAATTTTGTTTTTAGCGGTGAAATAAATGAAAATGTGAATTGGATAATTAATTTTAGTTTTTAAAAAATTTTATTAGAAAACTCCCCCATGCTCGTCAGAGTAAGAAAAATTTTATCTCGTTAAGAGGCTTTAGAGTTGATCAAATCTCTAGGCCATTCTCTACTGATTAAAAGGAGGGCTGGCAAATTTTTAAATTTCGAAGAATTGAAATTAAATAACCAAAATAAATTAGGATACCTAGAAAATTTTAGGAGAACACAATTCTATATAAGAGATTTAAAAAGTCAAACACCTTGGAACGGGATTTCATCTCAAGAACTTTTTCAAATATAAGATAATTTAAAAAAATATAAATGATTTATTCCAAAATATAAATCTGTCTAAAATTTAAAATAAATTCTACAAGATGTTGTGCAATTTCTGGAATGTGCCAGGAATAAATAAATACATAAAAGTGATAAAATGTCATTGAAAAATAAATAAAGGAATTGAGTACATACTTGTTAAAGACTGGAATTTTTAACCACGAAATAATTTTTGAAAATCAAAATGACCAAAAAAAACCAGTTAAAAAGCACAGTCTTTTAATTGTAATGTCCAAAATTTAAAAAATATTTTTGAGCTTTTTATTCTAATAATCGAACCTCATTTTTAGATAACCTTCAAGATAAATTGTATCTTATAATGAGAGATATTTTAAATTGGGGGTATCGGTTAGGCATCGGCTAACCAACCTTAAGAGACTATCTTAAAATTTGAGGTTTATCTAAAAATGAGGCTTGACTGTAAGAAGATCTACATACTTCTACTAATTTAATGTTAATTTATTTAATAAAAATGTGTCATTTAAGTGTAGAAAATGCTGATGGCCTAAAGCTTTGTTCTCTAACAACAGAAGGAAGAACTCCTGGGCCTCTTTCAGAAATATCAGAAACTCCATGCCTTGCTGATCTAGTCCGACGCCAATACCAAAGAAATGCAGACAAAACACCCAAAGTTAATACTCCTGCCAACCCTAACGAAATTGCTGCAATAAATCTCCAAAATCTTGCCCTGTCTTCTTCTTCTTTTCTCTCTTTAATTACCAAATCAGAGTCGACAACATTAATGTCATAAGGAGAAAATGTTGATAATTCTGGTTGTTCAAATTTTGGTAATTTCAATAAAATCTCTTCCACGGTCATTTTGTGCTGGAAAAATAAAGAAAAAATTAATGAAAGGGGTGGGACATCTTTCTAATTATTTTGGGGACTTTTAAATTGACAGTCCCAAGTCTAAACGATACATAATTGAATTTAAACTGGAAAATGAAAGAGAGGAGATATAGATATTCTTTTAAGACAGAAGTGGGATTTGAGAAAAAAATTCCAGGAAATTAGAAGGATGAATGAGATCTATAAATGAAACTTATTCCTTCTATAAGGAGCTTTTTCTCATTAAAAATCGAATCAAATGAGGAGCTGACCCATAAAACTATTCCCTACAAAAATATTTTTTCCACACCACCAAAAACAGTCAAACATTCCCAAATTCAATTTAAGAACTCACATCTTTACTAAGAGAAGCCAAAAGTTTATCAAAATTGTCTTTAATATGTTGCTGTAAATCCAAAGGTAATTTAGTAAAATCAGGCATTTCTCCTTTCATAACTTGTTTAACAACTTCTGGTTGAAGTTTACTTAAATTGTAATTTTTTGGAAGAAGTTGCATCATTTGAATAACTTTTTGGGGTAATATATCAGAAATTCCAGTTGTTGTATTAATACCTTCTATTGAACCGATTGGAGCATGTTGGGTATAATATTCCTTTAAAAGGTAAACAATTATTTTTTAAGATTTTTAGAAATTTATAGAAAGAAATAAAGTCTTAAGTTAGATTATTTTGTCGTATTTTAAAAAGCAAGAGAAGGGCAGAATTCCTCAGAATTCCCGAAAAAGGCAGAATTCCCCTTTAAATTCAACCCCTGGTCTAGATAATGAGAGACCTTCAAATTTAATTCGATAGAACAAATAAACCGAAGCAGGAAACCACCCAAAAGAAACCTGCCAATAATCCCCTCTATGTTACAATTAAAATGCTTTTTGAAAATAAAATTTCTCCCACCTTAATAACGTTAGTTTGCTCAGTTGTCAAGTGTGGAAGTGATTTTCCTTCAATAACACTCTGAACTAGTCCATGAGGTAATTCAGATATCGGTCTCAATATTCTATTTGTAGTATTTGTGTCAACAGTTACTGGAAGGTCAGAAGTTGAAATTCCTTGTGCCTGTGCTGCTGCAACATATAATCGTTGCATGTACTGCTTGACAATGTTGTCGAGTGTTTCACGTGGAATACCAGGAATTTGTCCTCCTTTAAGCACATAACCAACAATTGATGGATTTAACTAAAAGACGTTTTATAAATTTAGTAAGAATTAATGTTAGAATTCCTAGGTCAATTAGTGTAAATTAAGGTTACTTAAAAGCCAAAAATTCTGCCAAATTAATTTTCCCATTATTTCAAACAGAATTAAATTCTCCCCCTTTACCTTGCTAACATCAACATTTCCAAAACCGGGAACATTAACGATTAAACTCGGAATTGAAGAGAGTAGTTGATCTACATCAGCAGAAGATGGAGGAACGCCTGAAGCAAACTTCACCAGCGGTTCAGAGAACTTTAAAAAAATTTTTTATAAAAAATCCTTTCCGAAAAAATCTTTCAAACCTTGTCAATTGCCGTATCAATTCCTCCCCCTCCAACATTTCCATTATTCTTTTGTTTTCCAATTGTTGATGCCGGATTTAAATTTTGAACAAATTCCATTCCTGGCAAATTTCGAAGTTCAGGAATATTTTTAGCAAAAGTATTAAGCATTTCAGAGCCAATTTGTGTTCCCGCTCTTTGATGTCCACCACCTCCATTTGGTAATAAATTAGCTAAGAAATTCCCTGCTGCTTCTGCTGCCCTATTTTTGTTGACATTTTGTGGTAATCCAGGAATGTTTTTTAAAGAAGTTTCGATTAAAGATTCTGTCAAATTATTCCTTTTAATCATTAATTCTTTTAAACGAGTTCCTCTTTTTTGTTCTGGTGAAGCACAACGAATTTCTGGTTGGTCTGGAACAAAAGTTCGAACTTTGTTTCGCACTAGCCAGTCGACAAACCAGTCTAATTTGTCATCACAACGAAGAGAATTTCCTTTAAAAATAAAGAAATTTTTTTGTTTAACAATTAAAATATTTATAAGCTAATCAGGGTATCCCTTTAAAATAACCAAAAAAGGGGTGGCTTCTCAAAAAGCTGGCAAATATCTCCCAAATGAGACAAAAGGGACACCCTGAAACTAATCAGATCGAATAAATTAATCATATTTACAGAAAATTTTAGGTTTGAAATTAATTTTCTGGAATGTTAATTAGAATGTTAACTAGCAATGCAGCAATCAAGTTTATATTTCTTCCCCCAAAAAAATTCTTTTAAAAAATCAAAACAAACCATCAAGTAACAAAGTATCAACTTTCCAATCAAAAGCCCCCTCTTCAATTGTTTCCAATTTATTATTGTCCAATTTAAGTATATGAAGTCTTTGAAGTGGAGCAAAAGTCCCAGCCTTTAAATTGCTTAATTCGTTATGGCTCAAATCCAAAGAGACAAGTTCTTGAATTGAAAGAAAAGATTCACGGCTCAAATTATTAATTGAATTGTTTCGAAGTATTAAATCTTTTAAATGTTTCATTCCTTCAATCATTCCTCTTTCTGAAAAATTAAAGAACATTAATTTAATTTTAGGCAAAGACTAATGGTTTAGTTAATTAATGAAAATCAAAATTTGAAAATAAAGAGACAGTAAAACAGAGATTTTAAAATGTTAAAATATGTCCCGAACACGAATCAAAGAAGACGGGAATCCAGTATTCTATCTCCAAAAATTAAAAAGGAATAAAAAAATGGATCGAGTCTTTCCAATCTCTAAATTTTTTGTCAATTTTGATAATTTTGTAGGTAAGAACCAGTGTTTGGAAACTCGTACCAAAATTCATACCCGTACTCGTACCTTGTACGAGTACGAGAAGAGCAATTTTCAAAATTCCAAACACTGGTAAGAATCCATTATAATTTTCCAAAATGCTCATTCCAAAAAAATAAAAATGTAAACAGTAATTATGAAATATTTTTCTTTAAAATTTCCACCAACCAATAGTCACAAGTCCATTATCAGCCAAATTTAGAAATTCTAGTTGGTCCAAAGCGTCAAAACTGTTCCTAGCAATTGTCTCAATTTGATTACCAGAAAGTGAAATTTTTTGTAAATTTGGATTGGAAGAAAAAGCCAAAGTTTTAATTGAATCGATTCTGTTATTGTCTAAACGAACTTCTATTAATTCATTCATATCTTTAAATGAAGGAATCTGAAAATTTTAAAAATGAAAAAATTAAAAAAATATTTTTAAAAATTTAAAGAATGGAAAAGATTTAAAAGATTTGGAAGACGTATCAACCTACTTTTAGACCTCAAATATTTTTAAAAAATAAGAGGAATAAAAAAATTTCATTTTTCTAACCACATGGCTACAGAATAACGCGCTAAAATTATCAAAGCCTTAATGAATTTATTTGTTTTAAAAAACGTTTTCCTTTTATATTCTAATTTTCGTCAATTATTCAAAGCTTTAGAACTTTCAATATCAAAATTCAATTTTTAATTTTGCCCCTGACCAGGCCCGTAGCCAGGATTTTTTTCGGGGGGGGGGGGCAAGGGGTAAAATTTTTTCTGCGCCAAATTTTTGGCGCCGAAGGCGCCAAAAATTTTTATTTTCAGCGCCGCAGGCGAAAATTTTGAGAATTTTAGAAGACCGTAGGCCAAAAAATTCACTTTTTGGGCGCCGCAAGCGCCAAAAATTTGATTTTCAGCGCCGCAGGCGAAAATTTTTTAAATTTCAGAAGCCGTAGGCCAAAAAAATTTACTTTTTTGCCCCAGCCCTTCCCCAAATTTTTTCCTTTTTCCCATTTCGGGGGGAGGGGGGGGGGAATTCCCCCTCACCCACCCCCCTGGCTACGGGCCTGCCCCTAACTACATATACGTTATTTAAAATGAGTTCACTCGGGGCAAATAAAAATGCCCGGACAAAATATTAAAAATTATTAATAGGACTACCAGTAGGGTTCCGTGACTTTTGCGCCGAGAACATTTGCGCCGCGACTTATGCGCCGCGACTTTTGCGCCGCGACTTATGCGCCGAGCGACTTTTGCGCCGGGGGACTTTTGCGCCGCGACTTTTGCGCCGGGCGACTTTTGCGCCGCCACTATCATTAAAAATATATCAATAACTACAGCCGGACCTCACTTTAGTAGGGTTGTCGAATAGTTGGAAATCTTCGGATCTGATATCCGAACTGAAAGTTTCGGATATCCGGCATTTTTCGGATCCGGATTTTCTAAACAATGGCGGCGCAAATGTCGCGGCGCATAAGTCGCCCGGCGCAAAAGTCGCGGCGCAAGAGTCTCGGCGCAAAAGTCGCCCGGCGCAAAAGTCGCGGCGCATAAGTCGCGGCGCAAATGTTCTCGGCGCAAAAGTCGTGATACCACCAGTAGAATCATTTCAAGAAAAAATAATTTTAAATTTAAAACAAACCTGATAAAATTCATTTAAACTCAAATCGACCAATTTTAATTCTTTAAATCCTTCCAAAGTACCAGGGTCAAAAGTTGAGAGAGAATTATTTTGAAGTAACAAAATTTGCAATTTTTGGACATTCATAAATCCATTAGGCACAATTCTTGTTAATTTATTGTTTTGTATTCGAAGTTCAACAAGTTGAGGTAAACTCATAAAATGCATTGGACCAATTTCTTCTATTAAATTTCCAGCCAAACTTAAATATTTAAGTTCTAATAATCCTCTCAAAGCAATTATTGGAATTGAAACAAAACAATTTTGACTGAGGTCCAGTAATTCCAAAACATTCTTTTGGTCAGTAAATGGATGCCTAAAAAAGAGATTTTAATTAGTTGAAAGAATTAAATAAATTATAGGGGGGATAAGATTGGCCCTCAATTTTGGGACACAGTGTCATCTCAAAAATCCTAGGACTTCTCTTCGATATTATAGAATTGGAACAAAAACCCACTTAAGTGGGAAAAACCCCATTTCCAAACTTTGGAAGACCCCATTTCCAAAGACCATTACTAAAGATGACATTTTGTTCCAAAAATTATTAAATATAAAAATACTCTATAAAATGTCACTTTCCACTTATAAAGGTCCTTCCCTTCCCTCTACCATTTATTTAATTCAAATACTTTTTTTATTTTCCAAATTTATATTTATTCTCCCTTTAAATTTATTTCCATAATTTAATTAACCCTCTTTCTTTCCCCCGTTTTTTATACAAATCTACGGAATAAGTAATTGACCCAATCAATTGTCGGATCATCAATAAACAAAAATCTGCACATATCTCTTCACAATATTGACGAAAAAAGCGAAGAATGGAAGAAAAAGTCAAGCATTATTAGATAATTTAGAAGGGTAATAGGTACGAGAAAAAAGAAGAAAAAAATTCTTTTTTCTAAGGATTGCGAATCGAGACAAAAATTAGGTCAAAAATAAGTGAACAAAATTAAAAAAAAAGAAGAAGTATTGTTTTGATTGCGCTACCCAAAATCATATTTTTGGTTGGTGGAAGAGAAGAGATCGCTTTAAATATAAGACAAAAAAGAGAGAAGTTGAGAAGGAGAAGGGGGACAAATAAATATAAAATATTATAAAGAAGGTGAAGAACTGTTCAAAAAAGGTTGAGGAAAAATTTTAAAAAAATTTATTTGAATACTTAAAGACAAGTCTTAACAAAAATTAGATGAATTTTAATTGAAAAAATAATAAGCTAAAGTCAAAAACAGAAGTACTGAAGAAAATTTTCTTAAGAGTTAGGAAAGGTTGCGAGGTGTCCGACCTAAAAACGGTCGAGACCAGGCTCATTCGATAGAGAATGTGCCCTTTCTAGCAAGGATTTGAGCCTGGTTTCGACCGTTTTTAGGTTGGACACCTCGCAACCTTTCCTAGTTAAGAAGGATTGAGTTATAAACCAGGGATGTCATAGGGTGAGAGAAAAGTTGGGTAAGGTTTTGAGTTGACAACTTCCCATATAGGCCAAAGAAATTTTTTAAGAAATGACTCTAGTTAATTTTAAGAATGATTTAGGCAATTCAGTCTTAAATAAATCCTTACCCTCAAATAACTACCCCCTCTATTTAAAAAAATTAAAAGAAAAAACTTACACAAGAGAACAGATTTTATTCTTCTTAAGTCTTAAATGTTTTAATTTCTTCAATCCAATTAAAGAACTGTCCGGAAACTTTTTCAATTCATTCACATTTAAATTCAAAGCAACCAAATTTTTTAATTTTGACAATTTTGGAATAGAAGTAAGGGAATTATTGAGCAACCAAAGTTCTTCCAAAGAAGTTGAAAGAGAGTCAAAAGAAGTTGGAGGCATTTGGTTAATTTGACAATTTGATATTTCTAGACTTCGAATCTTTAAAAAAAATTTTTTTTAATTTTCAAAAAATTTTATTAAAAAAACCGTCAATGGGGGCACAGGCTGAAAATTTTCAATAATTTCGGAGCAATCCCTTATAGCCATTTTTCCAATAGAAATACTATAACCATTCAATTCATTCCATATTTTCTCTGGTAAAGTCCCAGTACAAATAATTTGAACAGATTTTTGTTCTAAAAGAGCATGGCACAAACAAGGCAATTTTTCAGTTAAATTCATTGGACAAACAATTGTTGTTGAAGTCAAAATATTTTGAGAACCAGCATCAGCAAAAGCGTTGTTTATTGAAATAAAAAAGATTAAAAAAGTGAAGATTGATTTTGTTGTCTTTAAAAAAAAAAAAAATTTGAAAATTTTTTTAATTTTACCAGAGTTATAAAATTGTCACATTTTGAAATTCGGGGCATTGATAATTTATTGAATACCGGTAAGCAAAATCTAAATAAATTTATTTAAAAATAAATAAAAATATGTTAAAAATTAAATAGCAACGTTTAAAAAATTTTTTTGTTAAGGAAATCCAAATCAGAAAAATCAATTAATTAGTCTAAAAAATTTAAACAACAAAAATTTCACATTTTTGGCAAAATGAATTTATTTAAAAATAAATGACAAAATATACAAATTTTATTTTTAATTTTTTTCTCTGCTTGTCTCTCATTTTAATTTAATCTCTAATTTAGCCTAACCTGATTATTTTCTGTTTTTGCTTCTTTACACATTGGGAGATTTTTAGTTTTTTAAATTAAATTCATATTTTGCTAAACAAAGAAAGATTTGGATAATAATAATTTTTAAGATTTTTTGAAATTATTCTGGAATTTTTTTTTGAATTTCTTATATCTTTCAAAATCAGCGCCAGAGGAAATAATGAATCTAAAATGACTGCGAGAGAAAGTTATAGGCACTCTCTTCTCTGTATGAACGGATTTTTCAGCGTGCGATTTTCTCTTCTAAAAACTCATCTACTCTATGTGCAGTAGCAGTTGCCCGCCCAAATTGGGTCATTTTTGTGTTGATGGACGGTCCGGTTGAAGCGACTCTCTACGGGCGATCCCTACAACAAAGCCCCATTATATCTCTTTTTCTTTCTGACGTATTTCACAGATATTGAGGGGAAAGGAAGGAAAAAGGATCCGGCTGCCACAAAATTTCACTATTTTCGGTTAGACACGATTCCGTGCGCACGATTCCGTGCACACGTTTCCGTGCACACGATTCCGTGCACACGATTCCGTGCAGGCACGTTTCCGTGCGGGCACGATTCCGTGCACACGTTTCCGTGTCCGTTATAAAAAACACGTTTCCGTGCCCAATTATTTAAATATTTTTATTTTTTTAAATTTTTATAAAATTTTAAATATTTTTTAAGTATTTTAATCCCCCTTGTAATCAACTTATCAACTTTGCTTCAGTATTTTTCTTTTCAATTCAAAAAATGGTATAATTTCGGAATACTAAACAGAACGCAAATGGGATAAACCATATGTCATTCGAAAGAGCTCGTCGAGTTGAGTCGAATGGTGAAAAAATTTTCGTGCGGACTCATACAGGGGCCGAGATATAGGCCCCCGAAAATCGAAAAACCATAGGGGGGACCAAGCACTTTTTGGGGGTGAAAAATTCGAATATGCAAATTATACCTCATTCGAAAGAGCTACTCGAGCTGAGTCGAATGACATTAAAATTACCGAAATCCGACTTGATTTGACAAAGTTATGATCGTTTGTTTTAGCTCCTTACCTATGGTCATTGTTGAGGTTTTTGCTGCTAAGGAGGCCACAAATACGTCCAGAGCAAGGGAGATAGGAATAGGTTTATGTTACGGGCCCAGACCCAGCGCCCGTAGACTCCCCGCGAGGCGCGTGCCGCAAAACCCCGCGCGAAGCGCGGGGTTTTGCACAAGCGCCTCGCCGACGCTCCATAGGTTTAGGTTGACCATTTTGAGCCTGTTTATCTCGGCTCAGAATCAAGATCTCGAGTTAATTTTGGTGTCATTCGACTCAGCTCGAGTAGCTCTTTCGAATGAGCTATTATTTGCATATTCGAATTTTTCACCCCCAAAAAGTGCTTGGTCCCCCCTATGGTTTTTCGATTTTCGGGGGCCTATATCTCAGCCTCTGTATGAGTCCGCACGAAAATTTTTTCACCATTCGACTCAACTCGACGAGCTCTTTCGAATGACATATGGCTCAACCCATTTGCTTTCCGTTTAGTATTCCGAAATTTTTCCCAAAAAATTTACGCGGAAAAAAGTTTTTGCCGCTGCGGAGGAAGCCGGGCATGTCGAGCGGAACGACGGCCGCCGCTTCGCTACGGTCGCCGCGAGCGAAGCGAGCACGACCGCAGCGAAGCACGGCCATCGTGTAGCGAAGACCATGCCCGGCCTACCCTCCGTAGCAGCACAAAAACAGTTTTTCCAGCGAAGATTCTGTTAGTCATAGGCTAGAAGCAGGGTTCTTCTAATTTTTTCAAAAAAAAATTTTTTTTTTAGATTTTTTCCTCCATATCCACCAATATCCCCTTGTTGATGTCTCGATGTCATGCACAAGTCCCTATATATTCACTGTACCCCTCAAAACCTTTTCTTATTGTTTATTATATTAAAAAGAAATTGGGCACGGAAACGTGTTTTTTATAACGGGCACGGAAACGTGTGCACGGAATCGTGTGCACGGAAACGTGCCCGCACGGAATCGTGTGCACGGAAACGTGCCTGCACGGAATCGTGTGCACGGAATCATACCCCACCGCACTATTTTTGTTCACTCTCTTCTCTTTTATTACTTTCTACTCTCCCTTTCTAAATTCTGCGTAAGGGAAATTTTCTTCTCTTCAAAAAATTCTCATGGAATGTCCACTTGGAGAATTATAAAATTAAAAAGAAAGCTTTTTTTTGAAAAAGAATTTTTAAGAAGCAAAAAAAGTGGAATTTTATAAACAAAGAAAATCTCAAAAAATTAAATGAACATTCTCATAAATCAATTTTTAATGTGCTTGGAGAATTTAAAATAATTTTCTATTAGAATTATGAATTAAACAGCTCGCGGACAAATGATCATTCTGGATACCAAGAGAGAAAACAGCCAACAAATATTAGGCAAAATAATAACTGAGGGGGATTCGTCAAGCCCGTAACCAGGAGAGGGGGGTTACGGAATTTTCGATAAATGAAAACTCGCTTCCGAAAATGATCAACTCTTCAGGATTTTTTCGGAGAGGGGGGGGGACGTAACCCCCCTCCTCCTGTTTAAGGGCCTGATCCCCCCCCCCCCTCTCCGAAAAAATCCTGGAGTTGATCATTTTCTGGACCCGAGTTTTTATTTATCGAAAATTCCCAAGAATCCAAAAGAAGGCATCAAAACCCCAAATTATTTTTAACAATTTCAACCCTTCTTCCTTAAAATTTGCCCTGTAAATTTAAAAATTAATATTATTTCAAATCCGATTAAAAAAATATATTCAATTTAAACAAAACTAGAAAGGCAAACAAATAAAGGATTTTCTCTCTTCTTTTAATAAAAGTGAAAATTATTTTGTAAAAATATATTTACAATAGAATTTCCAGTTTATATTTGCTAACAAAGGACTGCGGGAAGATTTTATTAAAATATTAAATATCCTGTTTTTATTTCAAAAAATCAATATTTTAGGAATATTTAAAGAATTTAAAAAATAAATAAAATTAAAAATCAGAATTAAACCAATCAACTACAGGCTCAGGAATTAATTTTTTTCGTAATTTTGCACAATCAGAAATTGCTTCTTGTTCAATATTTAGCATTACTCTTCTGAAATTTTTAAAAAAAATTTATTTTTAATTTTTAAAAATTTTATTTTATAGAAGGAATATTTTTGTGATATCTTGCAATACAAAATGAGGAAAAATCCCATCCCAAAAGATTTTCTCTATTTTATGTTTCTAACATAAGTGTAATATCAAAAATTTTGAGTAAAAAATTTAAAAACCAGAAAAATGTCTGTCTGAAAATAGTTGATATACTTTAAAATTTGAGAATATTTCTGGATGTAAGAATATTCAGGAAATGTTAAAAAAGTCAGAAAAACTCCTAGAAAAATTTTTAAAATTAAAAACCTAAAAGGAAGTTGTCCATTATCCACCTTTTTAGCAACCACCAAAAAATCCAAATCAACCAATTCTTGCAAGTCTTTGTAAAGAACAACATTAGATACTCTCATTGAATTTTTATTTTCATTAGCAAAACGATAATATTCTTTTTAAAAAAATTAATTTATATTTAAAAATTAAAAAGAAAAAAAAACCATTAATAATTTCTCTATAATTAAATTCAAAAATTTGATTATTTTTTCCATCCAATTTGGCAATACAATTTAATAATACAAGTTGACGAATACTTAATTCTTAAAAAATATTATATTTGAATTTTGATAATATTTGACGTGGGATAAAAAATTCTCAAAAATTCAATGTCAAAAACTACATGGAAATGAGGAAATTATTATTTTAAAGTCAAATATCAGGGCAGGAGTGTGCACAACTCCACTTTAAGGAAACCCAATAATTAGAGTTGGGGGTCTCGAGTCGGGCCCGAGTCTTTTTTTCCGGGCCGGCCCGGCCGAGTCTTTTTCTCTCTGACCGGACCGGGCCCTCAACCCTACCTATAATATATCCACTCAAAGTTAAAATTTCCCATTTATTACTCAAATACAATTAAATAAACCCCTTAACTGTTTAGCAATTTGCTTTGTTCATTTTCACATAGAACGGCTTCCAAACAATAATTTAAAATTGAAACAGGATCAGGCATTTTTCCAATTTTTATATAAACAAATTCAAAAAGTGCCACAATTTTTTTGAGCCAAGCAATCATTCCAAACCTTTCATATAATCTTTGTAACATTTTATCAACAGAAGGCTCATTTTCTATTTTCTAGATATTATTTGGTTTAAGTTCTTAGAAAAATTAGTGAGAAGGGGTTATTTGCGGACATATAATCGTTCAAAAAAGATTTGAAAAATTAAAAAAACATTCTGAAATTTACGGGCTCATTTCCTCTATTTTTAACTCCCACCAAATAAATCAATCAAAAATGGATTATTTTTAGGGAACACGCCCGATTAGGCGCGGGCTGACTAGGCGCGACCGATTAGGCGCCGGCCGATTAGGCGCCAAGCTTTTAATTAAGTGTAAGTATTCTGATTATAATCAATTAGAATGGTCCCATCGACTATCAAATGGGACCATTCTGAATTAAAAACAAAATTTTCCAAAAAAGAAAATTTACAAAAAAATTTTCCAAATAAAAATTTCCCAAAAGTAAAAAAACCTTACAAAGTTTCAACACCAAAGACCAGAATATGGTCTTCTTATCCACTGTTTGCTAAAAGAAACTGCTCGAAAACTCCAGGCTCTGATTCATAACGTCTGTATTTGTCCGGAATAGTGTTGTCGGTTTCACCAAAATCCTCGGTTGACCGAACCGACAAACCGAACCGCAACTTTCAGTTAACCAAAACCGATAAACCGAACCGAAAATCTTGTTTTTCGGTTTGGTTCGGTTTGAAACCGACAACCCTAGTCCGTGACTATCAGAATCAATCTATTTTTAGGATTTAGATTCTATTTTTCTATTTTTTCTATTTTTATTTTTTAGGATAGATTCTATTTTTAGGATAGAATCGGGCTGTACCCTATTTTTAGGCCGTAAACTAATTGTAAAAATAGAGAAAAATAGACCTCCTTAAACTAAATAAAAAAAATTCAAAATTACCTTTATAATATTTTTTGTTATTTGAGTACATTGAAGAAGTTGAAAGAAACCCGACTTGAAATCGTCAATAGAAAGTTGAACATTAAAGTGGATATAAATCTTTGAAAGTCTTGAACGGACACGTTTTTCCAGTATAGACAAACCATTCTGAAAATTTAATAGAAAATTAGTGAATGGTTATTCTGGAAGATACAGAAATAGGTTCAGAAACTATTCTATAATTTTTAAATAAATATTGGAACCGAAAATTTTTGGAATAGTGCCGTTTCCAGTGCCCCTTTTCTTCCCCAAGTTTTTTCCTATAATTTGTACAAAATGGAAATTACATATCCTTCTCCGAGCACAATTCCTTGCGATATTTTGCCTACAAACAATCAAAAATGATTAATTTTTTTTCAAGTTCTTTAGAAAGAAAGGAAGGCAATTGTCTGACGTAAGAAAAGAAAGTCTGTCCATTTTTGTACAAATTATAGGAATTTGGGGAGGAAAAAGGGGACTGGAAACGACACTAGAACCAAAAATTTTTTAAAATTTTAATTGTAAAATAAAATAAACTCACAGTACAAGTGTAAATAAAATTAAAAAAAAACCTCAGTATTCCCAATAAGTATTACAAACCAAGGAAGCCTTTGACAACCATTCAAAAGACTATACAAAAATACTTGATTATTCTTTTTGGCAAAACTTTCAAAGTGATCAACAACAAAAAGTATTTTTGAATTCTAAAGAAATTTTACTTAAGCTAATCTAAAATTTAAAAAACCAACCGATTCCCCAACTTCTTTTTTATTTTTATGTTCTTCAAAATTTCCAATATCCAGTCCGTGTTTTTGCAAAATTTTGGCACTCGCAGCAAAACTGCTGCATTTCTCCCCATCAGCATTTACAATTCGGAGATTATTTGGGAGTCTTTTAATTATTTGATCCAAAACAAGAGATTTGCCTGAACGTCTTCTTCCACAAATTAAACAAGAACCGCCTAAACCAGTTTGCACAAACTCTAAAAGAATTTTTTCTATTTGCCTGAAAAATGAGAAAAACTAAGAAATAAAAAAATGTTTAAATTCTTACTTTTGTTGTTCCTCAAGTCCAATTATTGTATCAACAAGTTTCTGATTTGAAGATTTCATATTAAACCAAAATAATCAAAAAAAACTTTCAGATTATTTAAAAAATCAATTGGCAAAACTCTGTGACATTTTGTCTTATTTTAGCCCTAGTACCTTTTTGTCGTGTGCCTTTTTGTCTGGAAACAGTTCACAGATATTTTGTCGCTAAATATTTTTTTATTTAAAAATTTTTCTTTTTTTTTGATTTTTCCTAAAATTAATTTTGTTTTTATTTTATAGAATGAAGTCTCTATTTTTTGTTAATATTTTTAATCCTTGTTGTTCTCGTTCATTTATTCAATCAACAATTTATTTAAATAAATTAATAGTTAGATTTTATAGTCAACAAGACAAACCACTTATGTATCAACTTGAACATGTTCAAAAAAGGCTAGAATTTACGGTTTTCTTTTTAAAATTTTAAAAAATATTTTTTCAATTTATTTTTAGACTCCATTAATGTTTAAAATGAGAATGGATTATACTTTCCTTAGAAAAGATGTTTTTTTGGATGATCAAATAATGGGAGTAACTAGAAGGTTTAGTTTTTATTTAAAATTATTTTAATTTTAAATTTAGTGGCCTTAATGAGATTATGCATCATTTTGGAACAATAGCTGTAGCTGGCAATTTATTACGTGCTAATATTGATGCTCAGGTTAAAAATATTTTTTTTGGATTTTATGTCTTTTCAAGTTTTCGGGCTTCAGGGTTTTTTGTTATGATTTGTCTATGGCAAGATAAATTCTCTGAAAAACTGCCGTAAAAATACCAAACTGATCCTAAAAACCTAGTGACAGCATAAAATGACCGAGCCAATTTTGAAAGAAATCTGTCTATGTGGCCTTCCAAAATTGTCCTGTAATTTCCTATTCATAAACATTGTTCAAGAGAAAAATCTCAAAAAATGATTTTTGATTTTAAATTTTTATTTTTTTTGTTGGAAAATAAACAAGATTGATTTACCTGAATTAAAAATTTTATTCTAAAATTTTCAATTAAATTTAGGCACTCAATATTGTACCTATATTGGAGGATGGAACAGTTAGGCTTCGTTGGAGACTAGTTTACCATAATTGGATTGATTATTTTAGCTTTAAATCAGACAAAGAAAATGTATTTTTTTAATTTAAAAATTTTCTAAAATTAGTTGACCCCTTTAATTTTGACAATTTTCAAATGGGTAGAGTTTTAGGATTAATTAAGCTTTGGGGTATTTTAAATTTTTTTTTGGCTGTAATTCCAATTATAAATTCAATTTGGGGTTTATTTCCAAAAAAAAATATAACAAAAATTGTAAGCGTTTCTGCCTAGCTAAGTTAGCCATTTTGTCTATGTGGTTTAGACACTCAATATTGTACCTATGTTTTTAGACTTGACATGAGTTCTTGATACACTCAAATTAAAATAAATTTATTAAATTAATTATTTTAGGAAAAATGGTATGATGGTTACTCGGTGAGTTTAAAAAAACTTTTAATTCAAAAATTGTTTAGAAATTTTTTTCGGATTTAAAAAAATAAGGTGTTGGGGGGGGGGGGGGGAGGGGGGGGTAGGTTATGAACAAGAATCTAAAAAATCTTCAAGAAATTTTTTCCTTTTAAATTCCTAAAAATTTTTGTTTTAAAAAAGATTTTCTACGTTGACGGTGATGGTTTAGTATATAAATTTACATTACAAAAAATAATGCCAGATGACGAATCTTCACTACAAAAATTTAAAGGAACAAAAGAATTTGTTAAAAAAGTAGTTACACAAAATGTAGCAAATTATAATGAAAAACAACAAATTGTTAATTTAAAACAAAGCTCAATAAAAAATTAATTTTTTATTTTAATTTATTTGCATCTACGAAAGGTTTTGATACAAATGGGGGTAAATTCAAACCCGTTATAAATTGATAAATCTGAATTATTTTTAACTTTTCTATTTTATTGCTCCATTTTTGCTTTCTAAAAGTAGGGTTTCCGTTTTCGAGTCGGGCCGATGATCGGGGCATTTTTCGGGCCTCATTTTTATCGAATCAGGCCTGTACGAGTAACTTTCGGCCTGCCCAAATCATCCATAATTATTTTTCTAATGTTTTGTTGTGTATGGGCGTCAGCCCTTAAAAGTGTTAGTATAAAAGCCCAGCCAATAGTTAGTTCGTTGTCTCAGTTTTAGTTCTTCTTCCTACCCCAACCTTCGTCTACTTTGTATTTCTTTGTGCAATAAACGTTTCTGTTAGCTTCCTCTACGTAACCGGGGTCGTAACAGATTTGGCGCGGTCGTGTTCAAAAAGAACCTGGTCTCGACAACAGTTTCGTCAACTTCAGTGAGTGCTCGTCAACGTAAGCTGTGTGCAGTTCAGAAAAAGAAAATCTGTGTGGACAATTGTAGTGTAGTAAAACCAAAAAGGTTAGTGAAATTGTAGTGTAAAGTGTAGTGATAAAAAGTTTATTTTTTAGTGAGTGCAAAATGGATGCAAAAACAGTGGAGAAATTGTTGAAGGCTCAGCAAGAGCACTTTGAGAAAATGTTAGTGAGGCTCTTGAAGCCGAGTGAGTGGAACGACACCGAATTGTACAGCAAATTAGTTGGGATGATTGGTGAGTTCGTTTTTGATTTGACGAGTGGTATGACCTTTGAGTCATGGTTGGGCAGGCATCGGTCCTATTTTGAGGTGGAGGGTAAAACCCTGCCAGAATCCTCTAAAGTGAGATTGTTGTTGAGTAAATTGGGGCCAGAAGAGTATGCCCAAATTGAAAGGAAAATGCTGCCAACCAAGTTGAGTGAAATAAAGTTTTACGAACTCTGTAGTGAGTTAGTGAAAGAGTTTAGTGATCATAGGTCCAAATTGTTGAAAAGGTTCGAGGCCTTAAATGTTAAGTGTAGTGACCTCCAAGATATTGTTGAGTTTGGGAATGTAGTGAATGCTCAATGTGAGCGTGCAGAAATGGCCTTGTCGATTGAAGAATTGAAAATTCTTATTTTTATTTCAGGGTTGCCTAGTGATGCTACCTCAGTTCGACAAGTCGCAATGAAAAGTGTTGAAAGTAAAAGTGAAAGAGGACAGGCAGTAACCTTGAAAGAAATTATTGAAGAGTGTCGGGCATATTTGGCAAATAAAAGTGAGGCACTGTACCTGGTAAAAGAGAAAATTAGTGAAGTGAAGAAAGAAGTGCCTGTAGTCAACACAGTGCAAAAAGTGAAGTGTTGTAAAAAGAGTGAAAGTGAAATTGGAAGTGAGTGCAAAAAACAGTGGTCCAAACCAAACGTCAAGTATCAGCAAAATGTTATTGAGAAAAAGTGTAGTCATTGTGGACGTTTTGGTCACTGGCGTATGCATTGTAAGTTCTTGAAGAATAATCAATATCAGCCAAAAAGGCAGTGGAGTAATGATAATAATCGTTCAGGTTCTCCATATTGTGCAATTCTGGACATCTTAGATCCAATGCAAAGTGTGGAAAAAGAAGAGTGGATAAAGCAAAAAGTGAAGTTTGGAGAACTTAGTGTAGAAATGATTGTAGACACTGCATCGCAGATCAATCTTGTCACCAGTGAAGTGTGGAAAAGTATTGGACAGCCAACAATTGAAAAAGTGAATTACAGTGGTGTTGGGCTGGGTGACAACAAAGTTGAAATTGAAGGAAAATTCAGAAGCAAAGTGAGAGTGAAAGACAAAGACGTCTTTATGGAGTTCCATCTAGTGCATAGTGAAGTGTGTATCTTAGGGTTGCCTGGATTGAAAGAAGTGTCAAGTCGGAACCAAAAGCCCAAGTACCAAAAGTGGAATAAAAAGAAGGCACCATTCAAGATACAGAAAAATGCTTTTCCGAACGGCACAAAAGTGAAAGTGAAGAATACCAATAAAAGAAGTGGTAAAATCGAGTGGCTTCATGGAGAAGTAGTGAGAAAGACGGAAAATGCATGGAAAATCAAAGTGTCAGAGTTGAAGAGTATTGTGACCCGGACATTTAAAGAGATCCGTCGAGATGAGTGGAACAATAAAAAGAAATTGTTGAGTGAAGATATTCGGAATATGAATATTAGTGAAGAAAAAGTGTCCAGTGAAAGCAGTGTAACTTCATCGAGTGATAGCAGTGTGGACAACTCCAAGAGGATCAAGTCAAAGATGAAGGACAAAAGCGGGAACAATCCAAATATGAAAGATGTTGAAGACGATAATAATATGGAGACAGATGAGCCACATATATAAAATTTTGTGATAATATTGTTGTTGTATATTTTTTTGTAATGTTGTATGTATTTTTTGTTCCCATTGTCCTTATTCCCCCAAAATTATTGTATGTATTTTTTGTTTGTTGTTTGGCTGGAAAGTGTTAGTATATTGTAAAGCTTCGGCTTTAAGTGAAGCCGAACCTTTTTTTTAAGGGGGGAGGTGTTGTGTATGGGCGTCAGCCCTTAAAAGTGTTAGTATAAAAGCCCAGCCAATAGTTAGTTCGTTGTCTCAGTTTTAGTTCTTCTTCCTACCCCAACCTTCGTCTACTTTGTATTTCTTTGTGCAATAAACGTTTCTGTTAGCTTCCTCTACGTAACCGGGGTCGTAACATGTTTACTGCCCAAAACACTAACTGCCCATATGCTTACAGCCCAAGTCATTCACTGCCCAATTCAATTCCGGCGAAATCACACGGCACCAAACAAAAGTATTTTAATTAAATTCAACTTCCTCCACCTCGTTTTAAAATTACAATATAAATTGGCAAATTTTCAAATTTTATTTGTTAACGTATTTATATTTATAAGTTTTATGAGACAGCGATATCTTGCCTTCCTTTTCTTCATATCTTTCCCAAATTTTTGAATCCTTCAATGCTTCTTTAACAGTCTCCGGTTTGATTGTCAGAAATGCTTTGACCATCTCTTTAACTTTATTAATATAAATCTGAATTTGTTCAAGACTATCACAAGTCTTCCCAAGGCTGTAACGATGAAGCCTAAATAAAAATTAGCATCAGTTTATGTTAGTGTCCAGTAATTGGTTTTTATGAATATGTGCTAAAAAGTTTGTGCGTTCAATAAAATTTTGTACACCAATCAAAGCATAATAATCTGCCTACTAATTGTCATTGTAATTATAATAAATTACAATACAATGGCTAGCGGAAAATTATATAGCATCAATCAAAAACTAATATATGCACGAAAATGTGTCAAAAAAATTTTTGAATCAGAAAAATCGTTTGGACCTATAAAGTGCACTAGGGGCCGAAATTTTAAAATAATTAGATCTAAATTTATAAATATTTAAAAAACACTCACTCTTCTCCTGCACTATAACCAGCATCCAAAATAATGGAGGTAAGTCCATTGTCGACACGGCGAAACGTTTCGTTGTACACAAGAAATTCGCAAAATTTTCGAATTTCATCAGGTGACGTCAGGTGTATTTGCTGATCAAGAGCCAAAAGCTTTACACAATAAACAGCCGCGAAGTGTGAATTTCTTGCCGCTCGAATCCAGTCCTTTTTCTTAAAAAGACGTCTAGCATTCTCCACAAACAGCTCCGGCGAGTACCGTTTAAACATCTAAAATTAGATTTTTGAAAAACAAAAATTTTACTTAAAAAGAAAAATAAATTCTAACACAGGTATAGAAGAATAAGTTTGTGTTTTTCAAAGAATTTTCAAAAATCAGTCTTTCCTTAAAAACTCAAGAATATCACAATAACCGTTCAAAAGATTGTGTACTCAATCTAATAGAAATTTTTATGCAAAAAAGGACATTTTTTGTTGTAAACCACTAAAAACGGAAGGGTTTCTTTACTCGCCGGAGCTGTTTGTGGAGAATAAAATACTTTTTTATTTGCAACCCAATCAACAGGCCCATCTTGTGGTTTAGCCATTTCAAGCCAAATGCTACAAATATAAAAGGTCATTAAATTAATTAGCATTAATTCAAGAATACGTACGGGGATCCTTTAATTTCCTTAAACATCAACTCCTTCACTGCCTTATGTGCATCATCATCATTTGAAAAGCCAACGAAAGCATAATTATTCTAAAATTAGGGAAGCATTTTAAAAATCTTGATATTTTTATTATGGTTAATTTTGTTAATTTAAATGTTAAATTCATAGTTGAAATTGAAATGTAACTAAAAGTTCAGGAATGACATTAAAACAAA